AAATCTTAGGAACCTCGAGTGTCTTTTTCTTAGTTGCAAAGAACCTCGGATGCCCTAAGGGTCTTGTGTTTAATTGCAAAAGAATCTCCAGGGTTCTGACATCTTTTTGCGTTTCATCACTGTCTCAAGAGTCCTGAGTATCTTTTTTTTAGTTGCAAAAGAGTTTCAGAAACCCTGAAGATCTTTTGTTTAGTTGCGAAAGAATCTCGGGAGCACTGAGTGTCTTTTTCCAGTTGCAAAAAATCTTGTGGCTATTGAGTGGTTTTCCTTTAGTTGCAAAAGAATCTCAGGGGTCCTGAGTGTCTTTTTTTAATTGCTATAAAATTTCGAGAACCCTAAGGATCATTTGTTTAGTTGCGAAAGAATTTCAGGTACCCTGAGTGTCTTTTCTGAAGTTGCAAAAGAATTTCAGGGGCCCTGAGTGTGTTTTTATAGTAGCAAACGAATCCTTGGAAACCTCAGTGTCTCGGGAGGCCTGAGTGTTTTTTTTTACTTGCAAAAGTATATGGGAGGGAATCCTGAGTATTTTTTTTTAGTTGCAAAAGAATCTCCGGGTCCCTGAGTATCTTTTCATTAGTTGCAAAAGAATCTCTGGGGTCCCGGGGTTCTTTTTTGGTTATAAAACAATTTCAGGGACCCTGGGTGTCTCGTTCCAGTTGCTAAACAATCTCGGAGAGCCTGAGTGTCTTTCCCTTTAATTGACAAAGAATCGCGGATGCCCTGGGGGTCTTGTGTTTAATTGCGAAAGAATCTCGAGTGTTTTGACATCTTTTTGAGTTGCAAAACTGTCTCAAGAGTCTTGAGTATCTTTTTTTTAGTTGCCAAAGAATTTCGGGAACCCTAAGGATCGTTTGTTTAGTTGCGAAAGAATCTCAGAAACCCTGAGTGTCTTTTTTAGTTGCAAGAGAATCTTGGAAGCCCTTGGTGTTTTTTTTTAGTTGCAAAAGAATCTTGGGGGTTCTGAGTGTCTTTTTTTAATTGCAAAAAAATTTCAGGAACCCTGAGGATCTTTTGTTTAGTTGCGAAAGAATCTCTGGAAACCTTAAGTTTTATTTCTTTAGTTGCCAAAGAATCTCGGGGGTTGTGAGTGTCTTTTTTAGTTGCAAAAGTATCTTGGAAACCGTCAGTGACCCTTTTTAGTTGCGAAAGAATATCGGGGGCCCTGAGTGTCTTTTTAACTTGCAAAAGTATTTGGGAAGGGGTCCTGAGTGTCTATTTTTAGTTGCAAAAGGAACTCGAGGCCTCTGACCGTCTTTTCATTAGCTCCAAAAGAATCTCTGGCATCCTGAGTGTCTTTTTTACTTGTAAAACAATTTCAGGGACCCTAGGTGTCTTGTTTTAATTGCTTGTCTTAGGACCCTAGGTGTCTTTCCCTTTAATTGACAAAGAATCTCGGATGCCCTGAGAGTTTTGGATTTAATTGCAAAAAAATCTAGAGATTTCTGACATCTTTTTAAGTTGCAAGACTGTCTCAAGAATTCTGAGTATCTTTTTTTTTAGTTGCAAAAGAGTTTCGGGAACCCTGGGGCAATTTTTATTAGTTGCGAAAAAGTCTCGAGAACCCTGAGTGTCTTTTCTTTAGTTGCAAAAGAATCACGGGGGCCCTGAGTGTCTTTTTTTAGTTGCATAAGAATTTCGGGAACCCTGAGGATCTTCTCTTTAGTTCAAAAGAACCTCGGGGGCCCTGAGTGTATATTTGTAGTTGCAAAAGAATCTTGGGAGAGCTCAGAGCCTTTTTTCAGTTGCAAAAGAATGTCAGGGGCTCCGATTATCTTTTTAGTTGCAAAAGAATCTCGGGCTTCCGAGTGTCTTTTCTTAGTTGCAAAAGAATTTCTGGGCCTCTGAGTGTCTTTTCACTAGTTGCAAAAGAATCTCTAGGGTCCTGAGTGTCTTTTTTTAAATGTAAAAAAGTTTGGGGAGATCCTGAGTGTTTTTTTTAAGTTGCAAAAGAATCTCGGGACCCCTAAGTGTTTTTCTTTTAGTTGCAAAGAATCTCAGGAATCCTGATTGTCTTTTTTAGGTTCAAAAGAATGTCGGGACCCTGAGCGTCTTTTCTTTAGTTGCAAAAGAACCTCGAGGGCCCTGAGTGTATTTTTTAATAGTAAAAGAATATTGGAAGCCCTCAAAACCCTTTTTCAGTTGCAAAAGAATCTCAGGGGCTCTGAGTGTGTTTTTTTACTTGCAAAAGTATCTGGGAAGGGATCGTGAGTGTATTTTTAGTTGCAAAAGAATCTCGGTGTTCTCAATGCCTTTTTTAGTTGCAAAAGAATCTCAGTGTCCCTGAGTGTTTTTTCATTAGTTGCAAAAGAATCTCTGGGGTCCTGAGTGTCTTTTTTTAGATGTAAAAAGATCTCGGTGGCCCTGAGTGTGTTTTTAGTTGCAAAAGAATCTCAGTGTCCCTGACTGTCTTTTCACTAGTTGCAAAAGAATCTCTGGGGTCCTGAGTGTCTTTTTTTAGATGTAAAAAAGTCTGGGGAGATCCTGAGTGTTTTTTTTTAAGTTGCAAAAGAATCTCGGGACCCCTGAGTGTTTTTCTTTTAGTTGCAAAGAATCTCAGAAATCCTGAGTGTCTTTTTTAGGTTCAAAAGAATCTCGGGACCCTGAGCGTCTTTTCTTTAGTTGCAAAAAACCTCGAGGGCTCTGAGTGTATTTTTTAATAGTAAAAGAATATTGGAAGCCCTCAGAACCTTTTTTCAGTTGCAAAAGAATCTCAGGGGCTCTGAGTGTCTTTTTTTACTTGCAAAAGTATCTGGGAAGGGGTCGTGAGTGTATTTTTAGTTGCAAAAGAATCTCGGGGTTCTGAAAGCCTTTTTTAGGTGCAAAAGAATCTTCGTGTCCCTGACTGTCTTTTCATTAGTTGCAAAAGAATCTCTGGGATCCTGAGTGTCTTTTTTTAGTTGCAAAAGAATCTGGGGGATCCTGAGTGTATTTTTTTAGTTGCAAAGAACCCCAGGGCACCTGAATGTTTTTCTTTTAGTTGCAAAAGAATCTCAGGGATTCTGAGTATCTTTTTTAGTTTCAAAAGAATCTCGGAATCGTAAGTCTCTTTTTTTTGGTTGCAAAGAATCTCAAGACCCTGAGTGTCTTTTTTTAGTGCACTTTTTTTTTAAGAGTGATTTAAATATGTTAAAATAAATCAAAATTTTTTCAATATTTCCCTCCACAAAATTGATGATTTGGATTAAATTAAAATCAGTTTGTTTTATGAAATCAAAAAAAAGTCAAAAAATTGATGACGTCAAATCGAAATATTGTTAAAGAAGTAAAAAAAAATAAGATAAAACCCTGCTTTTACTCAAACCACAAACAGTTCTATTTTGAAAATTTTGGTCTATAAAAAATAAGAAAATTGGCTGTTCCTCCTCTCCAGAAAGCAGGTGACGTCATTCCAAAAGTTATTAAATTAATGTTTATAACCCTAACGTGGTGTATTTTTTGTATTTTTACACCAGATTTCTGTTTTTACTTCCCATGTTGTCGACGTTCCATGACCCCTAGAATATGAAAAAGTAAGTCTCCCCTTTCCATCTGTCTATTTGTCGTCTGTTTGTCTATCGTCTCTCAAACTACTAGATTGATTATTGTCAAATACTCTTGTACTCGTGGTTTATGAATCCGCCTTGATTTTTTACCCTCAGTAACCAGATTTTCCCCCAAAAAAAGCACTTGTTAACTCTATTGGCTAGACTGTCGTGTTAATAATGCTATTCCATCTCTTCATAGGCCCCTTTTTTTCTACAGTATGATTAATATTATTTAAATTTATTTTTCTAAGAACAGGATTTGTTTGGTTGACTTGTTCAGGGTCCAGGGAATATGAAACAGTTTTGTTATTTTATTTTTGTATTAATTTAACATATTTATAATTTTTTCTACGACTACATATTTAAGTTTTCGGTTTTTATTAAATTCTTAACTGTATACTTTAAGAATGTAACAAATGGCTAATTTTATTTTTCATCATAGCTCCTGGAATACGAAAAAGTAGACCTTCCAGATAATATCTGAAATTATTGGGCTGATGGTTGTGAAATAAATGTTAGACTTATTTGAAGAACTAAACTTTAGTGACGTCATCCTAAAAATTACGAAATAAATCCTATTTAAAATTTGTAAAATAATGTGCTTTTATACCTATTATCTCTAGTTTATAAATGTGCATTTAAAAAAAATAAAATTTTACAACAAAATTTTGCAGTTTACTTAGAAACCACAAAACTTGTTACTTATTTTCATCAAAATATAAAGCTATGACAGAAAACTAATTTGGACTCCCCTTCGAATTTTTCTAAATAAAACTTCAGTTGCAGTTCCGTATCTTTCAAATTTCTGCAAATGCCTGTACTATGATTCCATCCTCAAGATATTTCCGCCATAAATTACCATCTTCACCGCTCCACTCATCGGAAAACTCCTCTTCCACCTCGCCCATCTCGCTAATTACCCAAACAACCGTAAAATCCCCATCAGCATTGGAAATTCTCCGCACGTAACCCCAATTCGATAATAGTCGGCTAATAACGGAAGAAGAAAAAAATGGAAGCGTCATTCCATCCTCCTTAATACCAAGTGGGTAATTTTCAATAAATGATAATTCTTGCATAAAACCCGAGGGCGCTTTAAAAAACCTAATTTACGGTTTCTGCGTGTGAGGTCCGGAATTCAGATGTGATGGTACCGCCCTCAACACCTCGTGGTAGATGACGGCACCTCGAATTCATTAAATTATACCTCCATATTCCCATCGACTGGGAAACGACCGCTTTCCCATCCGCGCCAGAATTGCAAGGTAATTTCGTTAGAAGGTCGCCGATATCGGCCCATCTGCTAATGGACGCACGGAATTCCGGGCGTGGAAGCGTCAAAAGTACCATTGTCATGGGTGGACCGTGGGAAATCGATGCTTGATAAGCAATCAATGGGGTCACGGCGCGGGAGGCAGCCACGCGCACACCCGCGATGCACGGGTTGCATAACCGCGGAATGTTTTTATTATCTTTGTGTTGTTATTGATAAACACAGTGTCGCACTTTGTGCGAAACTGATCAGATTTGCGTTTTTCTTCGGTTCGGTAGTTTTACTCGAGTGTGACCAGTGACCATCATGGGCGAGAAGTAGCCGTCGTCGCGGAGTCACCCGTGTCAAGGCCAGCGATCAAGGATGGAAATTGCTGCGGAAGGAGCGATGTGAAGTAGAAACCATCACGTAGGTATTGTCATTTTCATTGCTCGGAATTGTGCGCTGTGATTGGCGGGGCGCCGCGAAGAGTCGGGATTGAATAATTGTCGGCGCCAATTTTGAATGTGTCTGTGGGTTTGCGTCCGCTGTCGTCAAACTGACTCACTTGATAAGTGTAACAGTTTAGTAATCGGGGCGTCGTTCGATGAAGTAACTCACTTACGTATTTGCTTTACTAATATTGCAACGTATTTATAGTACACACGGACGAGGTGTATAGGTGTGAATTATTAACAATTATTATGGTATGTGCATACACTTTTACACACCTATGTAATGATAGTAAAGGCTGTGTAACGATGCGATAAGTAAACATTCGGTTTTTTCCAGATAAGGCCGCCCAAACTTGATATCTGATAAGTTTTACGAAATATTTACCGAAGGTAGGTAGGTTAGGATAGTGTAACCTTGCCGCTATTTTGAAATATGGTGCAAATATTTTATGCACTTGTGGAAGGTTGGTGTAATTGAGGAGTACTAAAGCATTAATGAGCCATTTTCACTTAAATTGGCTACTTAATGATACACGAGCGATTATATCGTTGGCAAGAAAAGTTTAATCGGCGATAACTTACTGCAAGAATTTTAAAAGGTCGAGAAAAATGATTAAATGCTTACCTCAAAGCAATAAACGTGCAGTAATAACTGAGAATGGAACCTTGAAGTGTGGAGTATGTTAATGAATTAAGAATTCTTCACGTTACGACGTTTCAGAACGCTGACGTCTTCCTCAAGTAGTAAACATTTTATTTATTTATGTCACTGATCAATTTATTGTCTTAAGAACTACTAAATGTGTTTTATGGCTTGAGCTGAATACGTAAGTAGTTTGATTAGCATCCCTAATCAACCTATATTGTATTCTTATGGTTGTCATAAAATTGCGTTGTCGAAATTTCAAGTAGGTAGTAATAATATATCATTATTTACACCAACAACTGATAAGAGTAATAGACAAGATAACAATTTGAATGGTGCTTGTTTTTCATTACGTTACTTTAAAATTAATTTGAAAATTTAAAAACGTAGCGATAAAAGTGTTTCCGTCGTAAAAACAATATTATTAATGGGTCAGAATCCATTCGTTGTGACGGCAAACCGTAAAGTTTCCAAATTTGGTTTAATTTATTTCAATAAAAAAAACATTATTTTTATCAACGTAAGTAGTTTACGGGTTTTAAACCGTCTTAAAATTATGTAAAAAAAATAAAACTACATACTTTAAATAAAAATAAGAATAAGTTTATTGCACAAAACGTACAATATACAATTAAAATACGACAATAAATAAAATAAATAAAACAGCCTAATAAACATAATCAAACTTAAAATCGACGAACCTTAACATTGATGTCGCGAACAGTTAAAATATCAGACTTGATTCTCTTTTTGATAAAAGACCTTGATGCATTTAAATATATCAAAAAATAAAATCAAAACAACGAGATTCTTTCAAACTATGTGTTTCAAAAACAAAATAAAAGGGGTCGGATCCTTGCAACTACTTATTTCAAAAACCAGACGTAAGGGGTCCCGAGAAACTTTCAAACTAATACCTTAAAAACCAGAGACAAGGATTTCCAGAGATTCTTTCAAACAAGGAGTTGCCGAAATTCTTTGAAACTATGTACTTCAAAAACAAAACAAGAGAGGTCCCCGAGATACTTGAAACTGCTTCAAAAACCTGACAAAAGGGGCTCTGAGATTTTTTCAAACTACTTCAAAAACCAGAGATTCTTTCAGATTACTTCAAAAACAAAAATAAAGAGGTCCCCCTAAATTTTTTCAAAATATGTACTTCAAAAACAAAATAAAATGGGTATCGAGATTACTTGAAACTACTTCAAAAACCAGACAAAAGGGGTCCTCGAGATTCTTTCAAACTACTTCAGAAAGAGGATAAAAACGGTCCCCGAAATTGTTTCAAACTATGTCAAAAACAGAGGAAAAGAGATTTTTTCAAACTACTTTAAAAACCAGAGACAAGAAGTCCCCGAGATTCTTTCAAATTACTTCCAAAAACAAAACCGGTCCCCGAGATTCTTTAAAACTATGTACTTCAAAACAAAACAAAAGAGGTCCCTGAGATACTTGAAACTACTTGAAAAACCTGACAAAATGGGTTCTCGAGATTCTCTCAAGCTGCTTCAAAAACTAGAAACATGGAGTCCCTGAGATTTGTTCAGACTACTTCAAAAAAATTACAAAAGGAGCGCCGAGATTCTTTCAAACTACTTCAAAAACCAGAGACAGAGAATTCCCGAGGTTCTTTCAAATCACTCCAAAAACAAACAGAGGAGGTCCCCAAGATTCCTTCAAACTATGTACTTCAAAAACAAAATAAAGGGGTCTCCGAAATCCTTGAAACTACTTCAAAAACCGGACAAAAGTGATTCCCAGGATTCTTCTAAACTATTTCAAAAATAGAAGAAAAGAGGTCCCTGAGATTCTTTCAAACTACTTTAAAAACCAGAGACAAGGAGTCTCCGCAATTCGTTCGAATTACTGCAAAAACCAGAGACAAGGAGTCCCCGAAATTCATTAAAATTACTAACAAAAGAGGTCCACGAGATACTTGGAACTACTTCAAAAACTGACAAAATGGGTCCCCGAGATTAGTTCAACTACTTCAAAAACATAGCAAAAGGGGCACCGAGATTCTTTCAAACTACTTCAAAAACCAGAGACAGAGAATTTCCGAGATTTTTTCAATCGCTTCAAAAACAAAACAAAACAGGTCTCCGAGATTCTTTCAAACTATGTACTTCAAAAAATAAATAAAGGGGTCTCTGAGATCCTTGAAACTACTTCAAAAACCCGACAAAGGGGTCCCCGAGATTCTTTCAAACTATTTCAAAGATAGAACGAAAGAGGTCCCTGAGATTCTTTCAAACTAGTTTAAAAACCACTTACAAGGAGTCTCAGAAAGTTTTTCAAATTACTTCAAAAACCCGAGACAAGAATTCCCCGAGATTCTTTAAAATTACTAGCAAAAGAGGTCCACGAGGTACTTGAAACTACTTCAAAAACAGAGGAAAAGAGATTCTTTCAAACTACTTTAAAAACCAGAGACAAGAAGTCTCCGAAATTCTCTCGAATTACTTCAAAAACCAGAGACAATGAGTCCCCGAGATTCTTTAAAATTACTAACAAAAGAGGTCCACGAGGTACTTGAAACTACTTCAAAAACCTGACAAAATGGGTCCCCGAGATTTGTTCAAACTACTTCAAAAACATAACAAAAGGAACCCCGAGATTCTTTCAAACTACTTCAAAAACCAGAGACAGAGAATTCCCGAGATTCTTTCAAATTACTTCAAAAACAAAACGAAAGAGATCCCCGAGATTCTTTCAAACTATGTACTACAAAAAATAAATAAAAGGGGGCCGAGATCCTTGAAACTAATTCAAAAACCTGACAAAAGGGATCCCAGAGATATTTTAAAAAGTACTTCAAAAACCAATCACAAGGTGTCCCTGAGATTCTTTCAAATTACTTCAAAAACAAAACGAAAGAGATCCCCGAGATTCTTTCAAACTATGTACTTCAAAAAATAAATAAAAGGGGGCCGAGATCCTTAAAACTAATTCAAAAACCTGACAAAAGGGATCCCAGAGATATTTTAAAAAGTACTTTAAAAACAGAACAAAAGGAGCCCCGAGATTCTTTCAAACTACTTCAAAAACCAGAGACAGAGAATTTCCGAGATTCTTTCAAATGACTTCAAAAATAAAACAAAACAGGTCCCCGAGATTCTTTCTAACTATCTACTTCAAAAACAAAATAAAAGGGGTGCCGAGATCCTTGACACTACTTCGAAAACGAGACAAAAGTGCTCCTCGAGATTCTTTCAAACTACTTCAAGAAAAGAGCAAAAAAGTTCCCCAAGATTCTTTTTAAAAATTAGAGACAAGGAGTCCTCGAGATTCTTTAAAATTACTAACAAAAGAGTTCCACGAGATACTTGAAACTACTTCTAAAACCTAATAAAAGGGATCCCAGAGATATTTTAAATGTACTTTAAAAACATAACAAAAGGGGTCCCGAGATTCTTTCAGACTACTTCAAAAACCAGTCACAAGGTGTCCCTGAGATTCTTTCAAATTACTTCAAAAACAAAACGAAAGAGATCCCCGAGATTCTTTCAAACTATGTACTTCAAAAAATAAGTAAAAGGGGGCCGAGATCCTTGAAACTAATTCAAAAACCTGACAAAAGGGATCCCTGAGATGTTTTAAAAAGTACTTTAAAAACAGAACAAAAGGAGCCCCGAGATTCTTTCAAACTACTTCAAGAAAAGAGCAAAAAATTTCCCCGAGATTCTTTTTAAAAATTAGAGACAAGGAGTCCTCGAGATTCTTTAAAATTACTAACAAAAGAGTTCCACGAGATACTTGAAACTACTTCAAAAACCTGATAAAAGGGATCCCAGAGATATTTTAAATGTACTTTAAAAACATAACACAAGTGGTCCCGAGATTCTTTCAGACTACTTCAAAAACCAGTCACAAGGTGTCCCTGAGATTCTTTCAAATTACTTCAAAAACAAAACGAAAGAGATCTCCGAAATTCTTTCAAACTATGTACTTCAAAAAATAAATAAAAGGGGGCCGAGATCCTTGAAACTAATTCAAAAACCTGACAAAAGGGATCCCAGAGATATTTTAAAAATTACCTTAAAAACAGAACAAAAGGAGCCCCGAGATTCTTTCAAACTACTTCAAAAACCAGAGACAGAGAATTTCCGAGATTCTTTCAAATGACTTCAAAAATAGAACAAAACAGGTCCCCGAGATTCTTTCTAACTATCTACTTCACAAACAAAATAAAAGGGGTGCCGAGATCCTTGACACTATTTCGAAAACGAGACAAAAGGGCTCCTCTAGATTCTTTCAAACTACTTCAAGAAAAGAGCAAAAAAGTGCCCCCAAATTCCTTTTAAAAATTAGAGACAAGGAGTCCTCGAGATTCTTTAAAATTACTAACAAAAGAGTTCCACGAGATACTTGAAACTACTTCAAAAACCTGACAAAATGGGTCTCCGGGATTCTTTCAAACTGCTTCAAAAACCAGAAACAAGGAGTCCCCGCGATTTTATACTTAAAAACATAAAAAAGGGATCCCGAGATTCTTTCAAAGTACTTTAAAAACAGAACAAAAGGAGCCCCGAGATTCTTTCAAACTACTTCAAAAACCAGAGACAGAGAATTTCCGAGATTCTTTCAAATCACTTCAAAAAGCAAACAAAACAGGTCCCTGAGATTCTTTCTAAGTATGCACTTCAAAAATAAAATAAAAGGAGTGCCGAGGTCCTTGAAACTACTTTGAAAACAAGACAAAATGGCTCCTCGAGATTCTTTCAAACTGCTTCAAGGAGAGAGCAAAAAAGGTCCCCGAGATTCTTTAAAATTACTTTAAAAATCAGAGACAAGAACTCGAAATTCTTTCATATTACTTCAAAAATCAGAGACAAGGAGTCCCCGAAATTCTTTAATATCACTAACAAAAGAGGTCCACGAGATACTTGAAACTACTTCAAAAACCAGAAACAAGAAGTCCCCGAGATTTAATAGGTACTTCAAAGACATAACAAAATGGGTCACGTGATTCTTTCAAACTATGTACTTAAAAAAAAACAAAAGGGTTGCTGAGATCCTTGAAACTACTTTAAAAACCAGATAAAGGGGTTTCCGAGATTATTTTTAAACTACTTCAAAAACAGAACAAAAGGAGTCCCTGAGATTCGTTTAAATTACTTTAAAAACAAGAGACAATGAGTCCCCGACATTCCTTAAAACTATCTACGTTTTCAATAAGTGCTCTGAGTTATCAAGTGGCTGCTCTAATTTTATTCTTAAAAACAAAATAAATAAACAAATCTTAAGTAATAATTTCAGCATTGATACAATTAAATTTTAATGTGTTTTTTTTGTCGTCTTATTTTATTTTGTGTACTCTCTGTCTATTTACGGGTTTGGTACTTTAAAAATGTATCAGCTTTAAAAATGTTAAGCTGTAGCCGAACCTTTTGTTCTCATATTGTCTCTTTTGTAGAACAATAAACGCATTTATTATTATTATTATTACTTTAAAAACAAAATAAAAGAGGCACCGAAATTCTTTCCAACTACTTCAAAAACCAGAAACAAGAAGTCCCCGAGATTTTTTCAAACTACTTAAAAAACCAGAGAAGGAGTATCCGAGATTCTTTCAAATTACTTCAAAAACAAAACAGAAGAGGTCTCAGAGATTCTTCCAAATTACTTCAAAAACAAAACAAAACAGGTCTCCGAGATTCTTTAAAACTATGTACTTCAAAAACAAAATAAAAGGTGTCCCCGAAATCCTTGAAACTACTTCAAAATCATAACAAGAGGCCCCGCGATTCTTTCAAACTACTTCAAAAACCAGATACAAGGAGATCCGAGGTTCTTTCAAGTTACTTCAAAAACAAAACGGGATTTTTTCAAACTATGTACTTCAAAAACAAAATAAAAACCACTTCAAAAACCAGAAACAATGAGTCCACAACATTCTTTCAAACTACTTCAAAAACAAGACACAAGTCGTTACCAAGGTTCTTTCAAATTGCTTCAAAGACAAGCTGTGGTGCCGGAATCCAATTTTTTTATAAGTACTTTTAAATGAAGTAAAATTTCGGCCAGTCTAAATTTGTCCGCCCCTGTAAACACAAGATAAAAATTCAATTAGTAGAACAATAAGAAAGCATAACATTGGAACACAAAAGTTTACGATTTTCCATTATATATCTGTAAATTTTGATTAGGTACGTATGATTATTGATTAAAACAAGATTCCATAATACAAATACACGATTTTACGAAGCTTTGAACGATATAACAGAAGATAAAGTATTGATAAAGACATTAAATAAAATGGAACAGTAAAAGTTGGTTGTGTATTGAGTGTTGAAGCAATTTTATATTAAAGGTTGTGCTATTAATAGACAGCGACTTGTGGTGGAATAAATGTGTGAATAAGGTGAAAAATCGATTAAGTTAGTAATCACAGCGGCGAGTTTTAATTTAAGTATTTTTTTTTTATTAAAATTTAGACAGTGTTGTGGATCTTCTATTAAATCTGAATGTCTACCTATAAAAAACCTAATCGGAGAAAAACTTCCGATATTTTAAGAGGGTCGTTATAAAACTCAAGCACGTGTTCTCAGAAAGGTACAATTGTCAAACGAACAGTGTTGTTCGAGAAATCCGAGATAAATTGTTATCTTTACTCTGTAAGTACCTAATATGTAGATAGTTGTAGAGTAGTTGACCGATTAAGAAATGTTTGCATAAACGTAGCCAATTTGACGATTTTCCTTTTTTATTAAATTAGGAATCCAAAGTGCAAAGAAAAAAAAAGATTTTTTTATATTAATTATAGGTATAGATCAGGTTATGGGTGCAACAATTTTAACAATCTTGAAGATCAAAAAAAAAGTTTTGTCATTTTTAGAATTCGAAATTTACCACACCGTAAACCTACTAATATATCTAGTAACCTTGACAATATGCAACAGCGACATCTAGACCCATCAAACTATGTCAAAACAGTATGACATTTGGAACCCGTCACTCTCAAAACATCCCAAAACGTCACACCATGCCCCCGTCACTCGTAACCCCCCCAACCACAACCAACCCTTCACTAACGTCTTTTTTTCCAGAAAATGAACGTCCCTGCTGGACCAAGAAACGCCAACCCCCACCGTCCATTCTTCCACTACCTGAGCAATGTGATAAAGCGCATCATCTTCGGCATCGTCATGGCCTCGAGCTGGTTCTTCATAATCTACCTCGGCCCTTTCATGCTAATCCTCACCGTCCTCGCCATCCAAGTCTCATGCTTCAGAGAAATCCTCAACGTCGGCTACAACTGCAACCGAGTCCCTCCAAGTCTCCCGTTCTTCCGCTCCCTCTGCTGCTACTTCCTTGTAGCCGCCAACTACTTCCTCTCCATCGAGACCATCGCACCCCACTTCGACGATATTTACAAGAACTACCCCCACCTGGAGATCGTCATCAAGTACAACCGCTTCATCTCCTTCTGCATCTACTTCATCGGGATTGTGCTCTTCGTGGTGAATCTCGTGCGCAAGCATGACCTGCAGCAGTTTAAGATCCTCGCCTGGACTCACACTTTGCTCATCATCATCGTGCTGCAGTCCTACCTGGTGATCGCCAACATGTTCAATGGAATCATCTGGCTTATCCTACCCAGCTCCCTCGTGATTGTCAATGATATCTTCGCCTACATGTTTGGTCGCTTGTGGGGGCGGACGGCCTTGATTCAACTCTCCCCCAGGAAGACGTGGGAGGGTTTCGTGGGGGGGATTGTCGGCACGTTCTTGTTGGGCTACTTGTTGTCCAATTACATGTGCCAGTATCAGTATTTAGTGTGTCCGGTCGAGTATTATCAAACCGGGGGCGGCATAAAGATGATGTCGGAGTGCACCCTCGGGTATTTATTTACCCCCACGACCTACTCGCTGGGGGTGGTTAGTATTAATTTTTACCCTTTTACGTATCATTTTTTCTGGATGGCTTTGTTTGCCAGCGTCGTGGCACCATTTGGGGGATTTTGTGCGTCGGGGTTCAAGAGGGCTTTCAAGATGAAGCACTTCGCGGAGGTTATTCCAGGGCACGGGGGGATCACAGATCGCTTCGACTGTCAATTTTTGATGGCGACGTTTGTTAATGTTTATATTTTTACGTTCGTTGGAAACCCGAGTGTGGGGGTGATTTTTGATAAAGTATTAGGGTTGGATGAGGGGAGGCAAGTGGAGTTTTATTATTTGTTGAAGGATATGTTACAAGATAGTTATTTATTGAATTCGACTGACGTAAGTTGACCTCTGGGTGTAGTAATAAATAAGTATGAAAATATTGTGAAGACAATAAACGAATTTGGTTAATTCTGCGTTTGTGTTTTATTTCAGAGTCGGGGTGGATTTTAATTATTTTTACCTTGAAAGCATTCTTTAAGTTCGGATGCAAAATATTTTTCGATGATTACATTCCGCGTCTGTCAAAGTACACACAACAAAGAAAAATTTTAAAGCAAATATTTGAAGGTAAGTTCCACGAATTCCATCTGGATTTGTAATTTTTCACTCCATGTCCCGAAATTAGTCGGTCCGTCACTCCACCCGCCAATCAGTACTCACGCAATTTCACAAGTTTCGAAACAAAGAAAAAAATTACAGCCCATCACAAATCGCCGTATGGCGGGCCAAAAAGCGGCTATTTAATTGAGGCCCGTTGAGTGCCCGAGTGGGGATTCCTTTCACAATCCAATCTCGATTTTGAACCATTGGCCGTGGGAAATCGTGCTCCCTGCTAGTGTATTTAATATTTTGGCAGCAAAGGCGAATCAATCAAGTCGGCTCTTGGAGCGACTTGCTGGGAGGTTGTAGGAGGAGGCCCCGCCTCGGATTCTACGCCCGCCCCTCGCTCAAGATCAAGGTCCTGCTTATTATTATCGACGAGGTCGGTTGTTGAAGGGTAATTGGAGCCGGGCTTTGGATAAATTGGGGGTTAATCGGGCGCTTGAAAATATGTAAATATTTGGGACACAAATAAATTTATTTTTAAAGGACTAACATTTGCATGATGTTTTTTTTGTTATTATTAAATTAATGATTTTAAAGTTGCGTCGGCGTACTTATTTACAAAAAAAAACATTAGCTTTTTCGTCAAACTGGATTTGTTTGGTGATTCTGATTATGCTAATGTGTGCTTTAGTGTCTGCAAGTTTGTTGTTACGCCACGATTGTTTGTTTTCTATTAATACTAAATCAACGAAATATAACCTACAAAAGCATGAATTCAAATTTATTGAAGTGGTGAATTTTACTCAACTTTAAAACCTGAATAATACTTAACTTATGCAAATACTCGCGTAACAAAGATAACAAATAAAATTGTTGTACAAATTTGCACTTTTTTAACAAACACCACAGTTATTACTTCCTGAGTGTAAGCTAATTAAATATTATTGTATTATTGTTTAAACAGTTTCACAATTTTTTTTCCACACTTAATTAATAACATTTAGCATTAAACTTGTTCCTCTGCTATATGGTTTAAAAATGTGCTTCTATTTTTATATAAGAAATTATTTATACCAAAATAAAATAAAATAAAAAAAATTTATCATGTATTCATCTCCTTAAAAAAATTGATGACTTCTTAAAATTTTGCTAAACAAATTTCGCTTTAAATGCTTAGAATGACAGAAACTTCATCTGTGGTAAATATGTAAGTATTTTTACTTTAATTACAAAAAGAGAGAATTATACAGGTTAGGACAAAAGTATAGAATCTGTTAAAGAGTATCTCAAAAATCCTGCTTTTAGAAATATCGCAAATTTTGAACAAGTTTGGTATAATTTAAGATAATTTAAGTCGTTTTAATCTTTAGGTTTTTAAAATGTTTAAGTTTGTTGTGATTGTTAGATATTTGAAGTTTTTGATATTGTTAATATCTTTAAGATATCTTATCTTCAAGATCTTTAAAAAGTCTGTTTAGAATCTGTAAAGTCTTTAGGATCTTTCGAACCTGTGGTATATCAAGTATCTCTAGAAACTTCAAAGATTTTACGAAAATTTAAGATCCTTTTAAGGTTTCTTATTAGGCTTTTAAAGAGCTTATTTTAGGATTTGCGATGTGTTTTGGGCCTTTGAGCTTAGAACTTTTGGAATATTTCCAGATTCTTTGTATCTTTAGAATCTTTGGAATCTTTCAAAAATTTATAGACTTTAGTACTTTTAGAGTCGTTTTAAAGTCGATCTTTAAATCTTTGAGATTTTTAAAAATTTTGTGATTTTTAATTCTTTTTGGGTTTTTGGTATCTTTTGATTCAAATATCTTCAGGACCTTTAGGACGTCTAAGATCCTTATTATTTTCAAGATCTATTCTATGATTTCTAAGATCTAAGAATCTTTTATATTTTTGACAACTTCAAGATCCTTTTAAGGTTTATGCTTATGGTTTTTAAGAATTTATTTTAGAATTTTCATTTCTATCGAGTTTTTACTATCTTCTCAGGTTTTTGAGAGTTTAAAATCTTCAGGGTAGTTCCAGGATCTTTGAATCTTTAGAATTTTCGAATTCTTTCATAACCTTAAGAATTTTAGAACATTTAAACTCGTTTTAATCTTTGGGATTTTTAATTTTTGATATTGTTAATTCTTTAGAATCTCTAAAGTGTGTTATTTTCAGGATCTTTAAAAGAGTCTGTTTAGGATCTTTAAAGACTTTAGAATTTTTGGTATATCGAGTATCTCTAGAATCATCAGGAATTTTACGATTTCTACGATCCAGAAATCTTTTATATTTTTGGGAAAATTAACATCCTTTTAAGGTTTCTTATTAGCCTTTTAAAGGGTTTATTTTAGGATTCGCGAGGTGTTTTGGGCCTTTGAGCTTAGATTAGAACCTTTAGAATATTTCCAGATTCTTTGTATCTTTAGAATCTTTGGAATCTCTCAAAACTTTATAGACTGTAGTACTTTTAGAGTCGTTTTAGAATCGATCTTTAAGATCTTTGGGATTTTTAAGAATTTTGTGATTTTTAATTGTTTTTGCGTTTTTGGTATCTTTTGATTCAAATATGTTCAGGACCTTTAGAATGTCTAAGATCCTCATTATCTTCAAGATCTATTCTATGATTTATAAGATCTAGGAATCTTTTATATTTTTGCCAACTTTAAGATCCTTTTAAAGTTTATTCTTATGGTTTTTAAGAATCTATTTTAGAATTTTCATTTCTTTCGAGTTTTTACTATCTTCTCAGGTTTTTGAGAGTTTAAAATCTTCAAGGTAGTTGCAGGATCTTTGAATATTTAGTATTTTCGAATTCTTTCATAACCTTAAGAATTTTAGAACATTTAAAGTCGTTTTAATCTTTATTATTTTTAAGTTCGTTGTAATTTTTAGATTTTTGAGGTTTTTGGTATGTTTTTAATTGTTAATATTGTTAATATCTTTAGAATCTCTAAGGTGCCTTATTTTCAGGATCTTTAAAAAAGGCTTTTTAGTATCTTTAAAGACTTTAGAATCTTTGGTATATCGAGTATCTCTAGAATCATCAGGAATTTTACGATTTCTACGATCCAGAATTCTTTTATATTTTTGGGAGCTTTAAGATAATTTTAAGATTTCTTATTAGCGTTTTTAAGAATTTATTTTAGAATGTACGCAATCTTTTGGGTCTTTTTGTGATTTTTACATCTTTGAGGTTTTGGATATCTTTGTGATCCAAATATCTTCAAAATCTCTAGAATCTCTAGGATCTTTATTATCATCAAGATATTTAAAACATCTATTTAGGGTCTTAGGTTTGTTTGAAAAATTTGGTATAAAGTATCTTTAGGATCTTCAGGATTTCTAGCATATACAGGAATTGTTTATATTTTTGGGGAATTTAAGTTACTTTTCAGGTTTCTAATTAGGATCTTTAAGAGTTTAGTTTAGGATTTACAAGATATTTTGAGTTTTTACTAGATATCTTCTCAGGCGCTTAGGAGCTTAGAATCTTTAGGATATTTCCAGGATCTTTGAATCTTTAGAATCTTTGAATTCTGTCCTAACCTTATACACTTTAGGAACTTTAGAACCGTTTTAACTAGGTAGACTATGAAATAAATTAGGGTACATAGTGTAAGTTTTAAATAATTAAATATATTATTTTTATTTGCGGTTTGGATATTGTACCAAAAAATACAAAATTCAGATTTTTTAGTTACGTTTAAGATGTAATTTTTCAAATTTGAATATTTTGACTAGTTTCCGAGATTTAACGTCAATGTCATTTTCTACTTTCCGGGCAGAAACCATGGAAAAATTATTCTAGTTTTCTTTTGACGAGAGTTTATTTATTGTTTTTTTTTATTTCTACAGATTTGTAGAATTCGAAAATAAAAAAAAAATAAGCTTCTGTCTTCTCCTCATATTTTTTTTTTAAATTACGTTAAATATCTAGAAGAAATTAGTAATATAATTCATTAATTCAACGAAAAACATCTTATTTAATTCTTCTAGAATTTTACAAACACAAAGTTTTCTTTAGTTACGTATTAATTTTTTTTATATTTTTCAACAATAAAATTTTATTAATAAATTTTCACATTAAACGTAGGAGAGAATTTGCCCCTAATATTAAAATAAAATACAGGTGACTTTATCATTCCTCATTTCCCAGAATTGAGATGGGGTGGGTGGGAGGGGTTTATATTTTGCCTTTTTTCCTTAATGTACATAGTATTCTTTAAACAACACGATACTCAAAAACATGTTTTTAATTTCTTGGAAAGAAACAAGTATTTTTCAGTTAAACTCCGCCCCTCTGGTTAACAGCGAATAAAAAAAAATCATCACAATTGAGATAGGGCGGGTGGACGGGCTTAAATTTTGCCTTTTTGTTTTAATATGTGTAGGCTTCTTTTCACAAAATGAAACTTATAATTACAAAATCCATATTTCCGTGCAAATTGTACCATTTTAACCAGGTTCTAAGTTTCTTGTTGTGAAAAAATGGCTATGTATATTAAGAAAAAACAAGGAAAAATATAAGCCCCACCCACCCACCCTGTCTCAATTCTGACGATTTTTCTTATTCGTCGTAAGCCGAGGGGCGAAGCTTAATTGAAAAATCCTTATTTTTCACCGAGAAATTACCATGTGAAATATGTTCTTAAGTAATCGTGTTATACATACAAAGAAAACGAAAAGAGAAGCCCCACCCATCCGTCACGATCTCAATCATGATGAATTTTTCATTCGTTGTCAAACCGAGGGGCGGAGCGTAATTGCTAATCGATATTTCCCTACACAAATTTATCACTTTAAACATGCTTTAAGTTTCTTATCTGAAAAGACGACTACGTATATTAAGAAAGAAGGCAAAATATAAGAC